AATATTAGGTTAGTTTGGTTATTTTCTACTTTTGTATGCTTTATTTCTCCTGAAATGCCCCACCACCGGTCCCGTATTACAAACGGATGGAGTTTTCGTGTGCTGTAGTAAGTCCGAAACAGAACTGCTACCAAAATAAGTATAAATAAAGTAGGGGGCGGAGTGGTAATACGTACCGGTTATACCTGCCTCCCCAGCACCGGGCGGTCGATTGGTGGTTGCCACGGGAGTAGACAGACCGCTACCAGTGCCACCGCCAGAGCCTGCGTTGGCGAGCTTCTCATCGCGCAGGGCTTCTGTGAAGGAGGTTGCCTGGTAAGTAGCGAATTTAGCGATAGTTGAGAGTGACCGAGGCGATTCAACGAACCAGACAGTTTCACCGCTGGCGTTCTTGTTTTCATCCGGTGGCTGCAGCTTCTGAGTGCGAACCTATAAGAGAGGAAGGAGACGGCGTTGAATATACTGGCGCAACCAAAACAGCTCCTTAAGCACACTGTTCGTCTAATAAGCCAGAAAGGGTCATTCTAGTCTCCCTTGTCTTTGTCGGTAATGTCCTTCTGTCTGTATCATTAGCCGCCTTGCGACGTAGGCTCGAGTGTGAGCTCCAAAGGCACCATGGACGGACGAGTGTGTCCTCTAACTGATCGGTTTACGCCTATCTGCCATTGTATATTCGCGATCAAAAACCCGACAAGTATCGAGCTCGTGGCTCAACTATTAGGGCGTTTGATTCTAATCAGAAAGGTCACGAGACCTAGGTTCGGGTGGGACACCACTTGGGTCTGGGTATGACTGGCTGACGACGGCTAATAAACCATAAATGGCCATCCTAGTCTCTCTTGTTTTTGTGGGTAATGTCCTTCTGCCTATACTTCTATTATATACGATCCATAACTGGGAGTCAACGGTATGAGCAATTCCCCCTCGTTAGGGAAGAACCGAGATGTTATTCTGAGGTAACTGTGATAGCACGCATGTGGCACGCGTAGATATGTACTGGGTATGACATTCAGCACGTCAGTGTCACATCCGTGTTTTTATGTGCCACTAACTGCGTGTTAGTAACCCGACTTAGGCGAAACAGGTGTCCTTGTGCCTGCTTGCCCATCCATTGATTCCTCTTGTCATGTGCCGCTTGATCTCGTTTGCTATCGTCGCAGTCGTTGACTCTCCTCGTTATTTTTTTCCTGCCCTTATAAACCAACAGCCATGCGTATGCGTCATTCGCACAACTTCTCGTCTAATCACCTTGAATGTATGTCCACCTCCTTTCTGATTTCTACATCGTCGTTTTGAACTATCGAGCCCTGCTAATCTTACTGTCTTAATTCACAAATAATATCCAAGTAATTCCGACTGTCTTCTGACATAGCTTTTGACCTCGAAGGCCCCTATTCTGATGGAAAAAAAAACTAGCACTGAATTACGGAAGGCTAAACAATATTAACCCCGGGTCTTATCATGTGTTGCGTCCACGCCCATCACTAATCATCCTTACTTTTCATTCTCAACTGAAATGTGGTAGGTGCGGGAAGAGAGGAAGGAAGCCAGTTAGTTGATATGCGAGTCAAAACAATGCAATTCCCGAGAGCATGGCCACTGTAGTGGGTCCAGTCGCTTGCGACGAAATACACCAGACTCTCGGATTAAAAGAGAATATTCTCAAATAAATTCTACTACCAGAGGAAGTGATGACGGGCATACGCACTGTTCTGAATCAAAAATTCTGTCCCGAAGTCAGTGAGTCATAACCCTGACCACGCTCAGGCAGGTCAAGTTTGGCCTGGTATGTGTTGCCGCTTTATTAATTCTGGCATCTGCTCAGGGTCTTTTTATCTCGAGAAGCAACTCGATCGGTGCGTGCTCATTCCTAAAATTGAGCATTAAAATAATTTCCAGCCATCTTTAACCAGGCACACCAAAATGTTAGCTTCCGCCTCAATTTAACCTTCTGAAAGTCAGCATTGTACTGCTCTCACCATCTGCACAGCCTGGGATCCATTATCTATTAGTGAGACCAAAACAGCTACTGCCAAGCAAAAAGGGAAACTAATCAATATTTTGAATAAAGTCAAAATGTCCGGACATAAGACAGCCTATTGGAAATGGGTAATCTGCACAGTCAGTAAATGTGCACCGAGTCTCACGTCTCTTTTCAAGAAAATAGACCTTAGATAGCGGTCTGATTCGATAACCGAGTTAAGACGTGGATGAGAATGAACCGTTTTCATTACCACTGACGAAAATAGGGGGTGACTGCCACAGTTAGGCTGAGTTAGCGGCAAATATTTAAGACGCGCTGATTGGA